ACAACAAAAAAAAAACACCCTGACCTAAACCGACCGAAAGACCCTTACACCCCAAAAGCCGAAACCCAAAGCCCAAGAGCCAAAACGCCCTAAACCCCAGCTCCCGGAACCCTAAGCCTTAAAGAATCCACATCTTTAGATGCTGGAAGCTTGTTAGGGTGTCGGAATAAGTAGCAATAATATCCCCCTCTAGAGAATGTAGTATTTAATATAATGTACCGCAGCACCCTATTCTAAATCTTACGCCCCCTATATAAGGGCAGTGGGGAAAGATCCCAGGCTCCGATCATCGTGAACATGGCCGCAGACGAGGAGATGCATTGGGCTTAGTGTTTTGGGTTTAGGGTTTAGGGTCAGTTTAGGAGTTTAGGGTTTAGGGTCAGTTTAGAAGCTTAGGGTTTAGGGTCAGTTTAGGAGTTTAGGGTTTAGGGTCAGTTTAGGAGTTTAGGGACAGGGTTTAGGGTCTTTTTAGGAGTTTAGGGTTAAGGGTCAGTTTAGGAATTTAGGGTTTATAGGGTAAAAAGGACATCTCACTTTGATTAGTAAAGCTGAATACTGGAGCAAGAGTATCCTCGTTAGGTTCATGCGGAACCATGGCTTTAGTAGGGGCACTTCTGTTAAGATCCCTATTAGGACATTTTCGTCAAGGCAAGATGGGCTAGTATCACTCAGCACTGAGAGGTTTATAATTAATGCCTCGCTTTGGTTGCAGAGGAGATGCCTGCAAACTGCTCTAGACTACAAGGTTCTTGGCCGTTCTTCCCATAGGGCCGTGGAGTTTGGTTTCAACCGAAACCCTAAACCCCAAACCGAGCTTTACTCCCTTGTGGGAAGCAGTGAGACGATATGGATAGTCAGAAGTAGGGTCATAGCTCGTAATTTGGTACCTATCAACTATTAGTCACTAGTTCCAAACAGCTGAATAGCATTGGGTTTGGTTTCTGGGTTACACAGTTATTCTAAGCGAAGGACCCCTGAAACCGTAATCGTAAATCTAAGGAACCCTAAACCCCTAAACCCGTAAACCCTGAACCTTGAACCCCCATTTTCGAAAAGCCCAATGCAAGCTGCCGCAGAGGATCAAGTGCTTGTGGACAAGGATAAGCTGCCGGAGGGCGCACGTGTCGTCAAGGTGCGGCAGGGACTAGGGTGCAGGGGTTTACTGTTTAGAGTCTAGGGTTATGGTCTATGGGGACCATTGACCAGGGTTTCCTAAGGGGTAGTTTCGATTTTCGATCGCCCAGACCCCAAGAGTAGGCTTGCTTCGACAACTGCATGCAACTTGGGCAGTAGTGTGAGAACATGTGAGAGCTGAAGCTTATGAACTAAACCCTCAACAACCTTATCATCTCAACAAACATCAACCCTAAATTGAGTGCGATCCTCCTCTCTGAGTCAGAAAGGGTAGAGATAACATCAAAGGTGGACTTCAAGATCAGCCGCAAGGAGGAAGCTCTTGCAGCCAAGGGGGAGACTGGAGCCCAGATCAATGCGGGTCAGGTTTCAAAAGGTTTAGGGTTTAGGGTAAAAGGGGTTTTCGGATTTAGGGCGGAGTTTTTTTTTTTTTTTTGGGGGGGGGGGGTTGCGCGGTTCTATAAAGAGGATCCGAAAGCACGTCCAGAGGTCTGCGGGATGTCGGAGGCACATAAACGAATAATTAGGCTATACCATGTGCCGGTTCCTCCAACCTCAGCTGTCATCCGGCATGTTGCCTTTCAGGCTACTTCCTGCAGCTATTCTGTTCAAAGATGTGAAGCTTAATTAACTCGGGTGTAGGTTCCAAAGTTCAGGCTGTTGACACTTGGCCGGTTTCGTGGCCTCAACTCTTAGCAGTCAGAGCCGCTTCCCAAGCCACGTCAGTCAGTGTTTAGGGTTTAGGATTGGGGTTCAGGGCTTAGTAAGGGTTGCAGAAAAGGGTTTAAGGTTTCAGGGTTCATTCAGGGTTAGTACAGGTTTCAGGGTTCAGGGTTAGCACAGGGTCTGTACTGTTCGCGCGTAGCACACAGGTATAGATGTGGAAGCAGGCAACAGTGCCCTTGAGCACGAACCCCGACGTTCCAGAGTCCAGAGCCTTTAAACCAGAAGACTGACAGCTCAGGCTGCTGCGATGGATGATGCAGAATCGCTGCATGACGGTGGAGGTCCCTTAGCCCTTAAACCTTGTTGGCTCCTTAGGGCTTCCCTGTGCCGAAGACAACCGAGCAGTCTCATAAGTTCCGGATCAGTTGCTCGGTGCATTGAGGACTTTGCATATAAAGCCTACCTGCACCTCAATGAATATCCTTTCTGGGGGGAGTAAGCTTCCTTTGTCAAACTCGTGGGAAAGGTAGGCTTTTTGGGCTACTGGTACAGTCGGAGTTTTGAATCCTTGTTTGAGACCTTATGAGCTGGGGGTGTGCACGGTCCAAGTAGCCCCGAAGCCCATGTACATGTACTAAGTAGGTTCGGGTAGGCAGCCTTTAACTTCTTCGGGGATAGTCAACCCTAAACCCTAAACCCTAAACCTACCTATTCCCAAAGATTAACCTTTAGTTGCCCTAGGACACTGGACAAGTAGGATAGAGTATTGTTGGCAATACACATGTATCTCCCCGCTTGCATTGCGCCGCGCTGCCCGGCATTCTGTTGACCAAGACTTTTCTCCTGGATGCATTCTCGTCTGTCAGATGGGGCGACGATGGGGTTTCCTGTTAGTAGAGGCTGTTGCTGGTCGAGATGGCTGCCTTACGAAAACTCCTTTAATGTGATCGGGCACTTGATACAGGATGATACAGGCACGTTTGGAGCCTTGTAAAAGTTCATTTTAACATCTCTCCATGATCAGGCGTTTTGCATTCTTCGCAGCTTGCATTGAAAGTGGGACGTGATGCGGGATTCTGTAAGCGTGTCTCTTGGAAGTTTCAGAGATGGTTGGGCCTGGGAGTTGCCAAACCCCGGTTTCCGGTCGAGTTCGCCATCCCGCGACTGGGTATTCATGGAACCTTCCTCAGGAAGGATTTCTGTTTCTTGCTAGAATGAAGTAAGCGTTTTTTTGCAGAATCTGATTGGCATTTGATGTGCCCTGAAGCCACCCTAAACTCTAAACCCTAAACCCCAGGATCCTAACTGCATGGGTTCTTATGCGCGACGAAAATTGATGCATGCACCTCACGATGCATGCTCCACAGATCTCCACACCCGAAACGCTGAAACTTCAAGGCTTCAGATCTAAAACTCCTAAGGTTAGGGTTTAGGGTTTAGGGTTTTGGGTTTTGGGTTTTAGTCTAGACCCGAGTCGGCACACGCGCGAGCTGAGACCTCGTCTGGCTTGCCCGAGTTGCCAAGGCCTAGGGAGGATAACAGCCTTTCTCAACGGACCCAAGCCTCAAACAACCCAAACTCGAACAAACACCACATCCCAGCAACAGCCCAAGCCCCAAGAACAGCAAACTGCAGAGCATCCCAAATCCTAAACAGAGAGAATACAGTAACCTCCGGAGCATGAGACCTGCTGCGATTTGTCCCACGCTGTCGGCAGATGTCCGACATGCCACATGACCAAAGTGCGTCAAGGTTGTACTTAATGGAGTATAAGAGGTCTGGAGGTAATGGGGGGCGTGCATGTCGTGAAACTCCCTTCAGGCATTTTATGGGCAAGGTGGTTAGGTCACAATCACCTTAAAAATATAAACCTGAGACTGCCAAACGATTGGACATGTTGGGACCAAGTTTTAGCACATCTTAGCACGTAGTTTTCCATCGAGCTGTTGCATCTGCCGGTGCATCTGAAGGCTCGTGATGTGATGTTCTCTGGCACAGGCACGCAAAACAATAAGTCTAAGATATCAGCTTTGGTTCACTATCACAGCTGCGCGCTTAAACCAGGTGCACTTGCACGAGCAAAGCCGACCTTATTGGGTGCCAACCTCCCTTGCCGGGTGCCTTCATATCTCAGAAGCAGCTGTTCGCCGGAGGAGGGCAGGAGTACATACCCAACGCTACAACAATACCTTTACAGACATTTGTAGATCCCTTATCGGAACACTTACAGTTCATTTCAAAGGAGCCCTAGAACTAAGTTTGGGTTGCAATAGTGACTGCACGCGTTCTTTTCCTTCTTGAGGATCGACAACTGCACCATCTGAACTCTACACTGGCGACGCTCCAGCACTTGCCTCTTCCTTCGCATGCACATAATTCCTACACCCTAGCCGTAACTCTGGCGCACAGCACATGCTCGCACAAGATTCAGGGGAGGCATGGCTTGGAAACTAGCTTGATCCCTAAACCCTAAATCCTAAACCTTAAACGAACGAAGAACCTTGTCTACAAAGGCTCGGCCCTACTTCTCTCCTCACAACACCTGATTTCTCTGGAGGAAAAGAAGAGATTGTCAAGACTTTCAGTTTGCAGGGGATTTGCCCTCCTGTAATGGAACTTATAAAGGCCCCTTTCAAAGGAACCCTAGTCCAGTTCTGTAGAAGGTCCCGACATCATTCTGCCCCATGGTCGGGGAGAGACCGCTGCCAGCTGCAAAGTGCTTCTACGCTGCTGAGCTCGTTAGCACTCCGAAGTCCGTGAAACGAGGCGACTCTGGATTTATGTAGGGGTTTTCTGGGCACTATATAGTAGGTACCTGGAGAGTTAGGGTTCATTATCTTACGATCTACCTCAAGCCCTGTGTAAAAACTGGGTTTGGCTTCAACGACTACTCTAGTGCTGCCACTAGCTATATGTAGAGTGTGTATATACATATACAGATGTGTAATATAAATATAAATATATATATATATATATATATTACAAAGCTGCGGCTGCTGCTGCTGCTGCTGCTGCTGCTGCTGCTGCTGCTGCTGCTGCTGCTACTGTTCCTGCATTGTCGAATCGTCCCGGAACTTGAATGCAACAGCGAAGCTCGAGGCAGCTGGCTGCTTTTAAACAATTCTTGCAGGCCTTTATGCGCCTCTCTCTCGCTAGGTTCCTGAGTAGTGCCCTGTTGCCCTTCTCCCTTGTTAAAACCAAATAGTAGGAAAAAGGGTACCCTTATAATTAAGGGGCTCAGGAACCTCGTCTGGATCTTGCTGAAGCAACATCCACAGGAAAGACGGGAACACAGTTGTGCCATGTTGTGCTTGTGGTGGCCATCCCTGCCGACGCTTCAACGTCAGACCGTCAGACCTAGCTCTTCGGTGGCGAAAGGAAAGAAAATATGTGCTCGCGTCTGCCCCCTCTTCTCATCATTTGAGGCCCCGATGTACGAGCTTCATTGTTGATTCTTTGCACGTCGTCCTTCCCATTGCATTCTGTCTTCTTTTCCGGCCTAGCTCTGAGCTCAAGGGTGGAAGGGTTTTCGAACTCTTAAGCCCACAGCACTACACAACCTCTAGAGACTATAAACCCTACCGGAAACCCTTATACCCTGAACCTACCAGCCACGACCGACGGGCCTTGCCTGCAACGCTTCTGCTCCAGTATGTACCTTACACCCTACTCCGAGACATACTACAAGAGTTACTGTCAGGGCCTTAGTAATTAGAATAGGGTTTGTGGTATATTATACTATATATATATATATATAATATGAACCCCCAAGCCCTATTTTAATTATTAAGGCCCCTACATTACTGTAAGGATTGCCATACGGGTTCATCTACAGGTTTCTTCAAGGTGTGACGGGTGCAAGAAGGAGATCCTTATAGTTTGTCGTAGATATAGGGTTTAGGGTTTAGGGTTTAGATATGTATACATCCGTTCACCACACACATCTGGGACACAGAGTCACGCACCTCTCTTTGTAGTAGACATGCTCGCCTATGTATGTATATGTAGGCAGCTATGTACGTATGTATGTATGCATGTATGTGAGTATGTATGTGTGCAAAGATATATACACACACACATATATATATATATACACACATACGCCCACATGAATGTGCATGCATGGTTGTATGACTGTGTTCCACCAAGTTCCACCATTTGATCATACTCGTTTCCACGCCGCAGGCATACATACACACTTACATACATCTGTGCATACATACATATTGCTACATACATATATGTTCATGTATATACCTGTAAAGAAATTTATTTATGCATGTATGTATGTATGTATGTATGTATGTATGTATATATAATTTCAATGAATGCATAGGTAAGATGCAGATAAACTTGCAGAAGATCCGTTCCAAACAATACACAACGCGTGGGCTTGAGGGTTCCGGATTTGGATTGTCACTAACCCTAAGCGGTCTTTGGCTTCGAAGCCCAAACACGTGATCCCCGTTGAGGCAGTCCTTCCTAGATGCAATATTCGACTTTTTTCTTGCGGTGTACATATGTATATATATGTATATATGTAGATGTACAGGTGTGTCTGACCGGCACACGATGTCTTTAACGACAGGTCAAAAAGACCATTTCGAAGCTTCTTGGCTGCAGAATCGGCTCTAAAGCCGTGCAGGTAGGCTTAGACACAGTGGAAGTAAGTTCTGCATATTTAAACGCAAGGTGCACAAAGCATACTGGTCGACCCATTCGTTCTCCTGCCTGGTTTCTTGATGGGTCGTGCGATGCATGCACGTGAAAGCCGGTATGCCTCAATCCCGTAAAACGCTGTGCCCGAAACACTGAAACCGTTAGTTATCTTATGATGCTCACTGGTTTATACCAAGCAGTACCCTTCCTATTCGGCATGTTGAAGATGAATGTCTCAACCGTAACACCGAAAATCTCGACCAGATAACTTGAAACCTTACAGTAGAAGCCAGAGAGCTGGAACTTCATCATCCTCATGCCCACAGGGGTAAAAGATAAGGAATCCTACCGCGAATCATCCTAAATGCATGTTCCAACACAGCAAGCATTGTTTATGAATCTGAATCCTCATATTCATATAGGGACCTAAATAATTACCTATACTATTTTCGGGGCTCCTTAGTATAAGTATAGCATAAATATACAACCCCCCCCCAAAAAAAAATATATATATATATATATATTCTAATTATTAAGGCGCCTACATTATCCCGAAAGCCTTGGCTCCTGCCAAGGCTGAAAACCCAGCGGCAGTCGGCCAAGAAGGCTAAAGCAGACCGACTCCTCCTGAGGTTCGGGTTGCATCTTCCCCGAGAACCCAATACCCCCTTAATTAAGGAAC